CTCCTCGCTGCTGACAGTTCAGGGAAGTAAAACCAGCCTCCTCCTCCTCCTCCTCCTCCTCCTCCTCCTCCTCCCCACTGACCCAGCAGCCACGTTAATCCCCCCTCTCCTTCCATTCCCAGCTTCCTGCAAACCTTACCTGCAGATCATTCCTCATGGAGTCAGACAGGGTTTGGGGGTGATGCTGTGACTCAGCAGAGCACCATGGTTTGGTTACAGTGCCTGGCAACTCCTCTCCCCAAACCCATCATCCCAGGGGGCTCAGACCTGCCCAGCTCTGAGCTGGAGCCTTGCTGCGGAGACCAGAGGGACTGGCTGTGGGATCCCACAAGGATGGGGCTGCTTTTCCAGCTGCTGTCGGTGCCACTGGCTGCAGAGGTGGGATGAGATTCTCTGCTCGTCTCAGGGTTTGTCCACAATTACACAGAACTGCCTGAGACAGTAAGGAATTATTGCTTTTGAACGTTTGGCTTGAAGAGGCGACTCTCCCTCTCTCTCTGTCCATCTCCCGAGGCTGATTTGGTACCTAACAAACTCCACAGAGCCTTTTTCAACTCCTTTTCAACCCAGGTTGTAGTCCAAGCTTGTATTTATATAAAACCACTGTGGGAAGATGCACATCTTGATCTGGGTGCTCAACACCAGCCCCAAGCTCCAAGTGCATGGAGCAGTTTGAGGTTTGAGTCCTCGGTGTGTCCTGGTCACTCATCCCTGGCTCCCAAGGGATTTGTGGCAAAGAAATGCTGGGTTGGTCATACAAGTTCCAGTTCTGGAACATCCGTGGGCAGCGTGGAAAGGAAACTGGAAGTGTTTCAGTTGAAGGTGTGTGGCTGCTTCTTCCAGCATCCCGTATCCAGGGTTACTCTGTGTCTGTTTGGATGTCAGGGAGCTCCAGGAGAACAGTCTTGGAATTAGGCAGAAGGCTTGGAGTGAAGGGTCCAGGGAGGGCACAGCAGCCAACTGCCAGCCCAAAGGCACTTGAGGAAGAATTTCCTAAAATAATTTGTTTTCTTGATTTTTTTAAATGCTCACTTGTCACATTTACTCAGCGTTCCCTCTGCTTATGGCTCTGGAGAGGGGGCTGGCATTGTAATTTAAAATATTCCTTTAGATTCTTATTTGAAGGGAGGAAAAAAAGTGTATTTTCTAATTGCATCATCGAGGCCGTGAGGAATTTTTGGAGGGAAGTGAGGTGGTCCTGTGCCAGGGGCGGGATGGAACCTGTGGGAGGAGCTGATCCCGTTACAACTGCGAGACACCCACAGAGGCACTGTGAGTGTCACCCCACACCCCCACTGAACATCCAAAAATCAGTGTTGGACACTGTGCACCAAACTGAGCCCCCGCAGCGCAGCTCTGCGTGACGAGACACGGCGCTGTGCGACAGCAGCCTGAGACAGCCACGACTCCAGGGGTGAGATCCAGCTCCAGGAGGACGTGGTGTAGCCCCAAAGCTCCGTGTTCCTGCTGAAGCAGCCCCAGACCTCTCGTCCATGAGGATGTTTTTCCACCGCTTCCCTCGGTGCACTCAGAGAAGATCTGCTGAGCTGTGTGCGTGCAAAACCAAGCCTTGGTTTGAGGTTAGGGCACCACAGAGTCTGGAATCTGAGGTTCAGGCTCACCAGAGGTGGAAAGGCCACGGGAAGGGTTCAGGAATGGTGGTGGTGAGCACAGGAGGGATGAAAAAGAGACAAGGCAGGTTAATTCAGCAGCAACACCTGGCTTGGCATGGTTTGATCCTCCTTGTGATAGTGCCCGGGGCCACCGTCCCCTCCCCGAGCTGCACCGCCTGCTGGAACAGGGAATCTGGGAGATGGCTCCCAAATCCCAGAGGGTTTGTGTTGGGCTCCTGGGGGATCCTTCCCAGCACACAGAGCTGTGTGTGCCGCGCTCAGGCCACGGGGGTGCCGAGCTGCAGCTCCGCGTCCGCGGGCTCCGCATCCCAAAGGCCGATGGAGCGAGCTCCAGGGCCCGGCCCGGCCGGGAGCAGCTTGGGCTCGCTCCCCACTGCCCCAGAGCCCACAGAGTCGGTGTCAGCCTGCAGGGTGAGCACGTTCTTGAGGGACGTGGCAGCGCGGGGGCCGCTGTTGGAGTTCCTCATGGACAGGGAGATGGCGCTGGGCCGGGGCTCCGCCGAGCGCCGGCAGCAGGGCAGGAATTTGCCCATGGCTCTCTTGAAGTCCCTCATGAAGAGTGGGTAGATGATGGGGTTCATGGTGCTGTTGCAGTAACCCAGCCAGGTGAGCACATCGAAGAATCCAGCCGGGACACAGCCACAAACTGCCTGCATGGGCACAGCAGGGATTAGCAGCCTCAGCCCCAGCCCAGAGGGGTTTCCCCAGCACACCAACATCCCCCTTTCAAAGGAAACATTAAAATCCCATTTGAAGGGTTTTTTCCTTGCTGTTGTTCCCTGGGGAATTGCATCCTTGGTCCCAGAGGTCCAGCAAGACCTTCTGGTGCCTCCAATTGAACCCAGCTGGATTCCAAAGTGAAAACTTCTGGAAACCCGACATAATTCCCACCCAGGCTCTTACCTGTGCCACGTTGGTGACGAAGAAGGGCAGCCAGGCCACGAAGAACATGCCCAGGAGGATGCCCAGGGTCAGGCTGGCCTTCAGAGCCTTCTTGCTGTGCTTGTTGCTGAACCTCCTGCTCTCGCTGCCGGTCAGGGGCTGGCTCGGGGCGCGTGGGACCTGCGGCCAGAGACAGGGAGAGGTGGGCAACTCTCCCCACCACCAGCCTCTGCCCGAGAAAAGTGACATTTGGGGCTCCAGATCCTGCAAAAAGCCCTGCCAGTGATTCCATTCTCCGAGGGGCGGCAGCTGGACACACACCGCAAGCCCTGAAGCACAAATTAGGAAGGGGAAGCAATAGAAAGCCTCAACACTGATTTTATTTCCTGTAAAAGAGGGTGTTTGTCATTAGGCTGCTCTTTAGAGAAAAACCCAGCTCAGTCCATGCCTTAAACAGGCAGCTCCAGCTGCTGATTACAGCAAAAAAACTAATCATGGTTTTAAAAGCAGGACATGAAATATTTCAGCCTCCAAACAGCACAACCCAGCCCTCCATCCCCTCCTGCAATCTAAAATTAAGTGATTATCTCAGCCCTCCCCTGTAATTAAATGATGCCCTGTTTCAACTCAGCTTCTGGCCCAAAAACAAATGAGAACAAAAATCTCTAAAATGAGATGAAGGTGAAAAAGGTTAAAAAATGAAATTTGAGGGTTCCCTGGCTGACACCTTGTTCCTCAGCCAGTTTGGGGCTTCAGGGAACCTTTTGGGCCTCAGCTGAATGACAGGGGAGATGGATGCTGCTCTTCCTGGGCACAGCAAAGCCCTGAGCATCCCCTGACTCTGTGGAATCCAAAAACCTGGCATCCTGTGAGAAAATAAACACTTTATGATATTTTCTGTTTCTTCTTTAATCCTCCTTTTCCTCTTGACCGTCTGCTGCAGCTCATCACGTGTGGGGGAGCTGGCCGGAGTCCTGGCTCTGCTCTCAGAAAGAACAAACTAAATCAAGGTATTTAAAGGCAATTAAGTTTGCCTTTTCCCTGTAGGATATGAGGTCAATAAAGCCTATTACAGGGAATTAAAGCTGTTAGATTTAGTGGCAATTACCTTCTCCTGGAGAAATACAAACAAGTGCAGCCACGTTTTTGTTATAAAACCCACACACTCCGGTTCCACCGGCGAGCGCACGAGGAGGGGTTTGGCAGCTCCTGTTATAGAGCAGGTAACAAAAATAGAAGCTTCTGTTCAAAATAAGGTGCTCTCGGGAATCTGGCATTTGCTATTAGTTAAAATCCTTCTCCCCCGTATGTCTCACACCCACCACGGCCAAGATTTACGAGTGGAAAGTCAGATAAGATTAAACCCCTCGGGGATGACGCCAGCCAAGAGGAGGGGGGTGAAACTGCGTTTATTTTGCACTGCTGAGCATTTTTGCCTGAATCTTATTTATTTCTCTGCTTCTGCTTACGCTATTTCTGTGCCTGTGAGCAGCTCTCAGAGCTCTCCATTGCTGGGACAAGGCGTGGGGCACCTCAGAGGATGTCAGGGAGGTGCGTGGTGCCCAAAATCTCCCTCCCTGCGGTTGTCACATCCAACCCCGAGGCCATCCAGGAGGCAGAAACAGCCGAGGGACCCAAACCGTGGGCTCTGCCCCTGAGGGAGCCTTACCTGTGGGGTGGCCTCGTCGGTGGTGGCCACGTTGGAGGTGAGGGAAGCCACCTGCACGGCCTGCTTGCGCGCCGCCAGCAGGATGCGGCAGTAGGTGAAGGAGATGGCGGCGGACGGCAGGAAGAAGGTGAGGCAGGAGGCCACCAGGGCGTAGGGCAGACTGACCAGCAGCCGGCACTGATCCTCATCCCCCAGCCCCGTGACGTTCAGGGGCCGCACCTCAAACTCCAGCTCGTGCCACCCCATCTTGATGGGCAGGAAGGAGGCCAGCGCTGCCAAGCTCCAGGTGGCCAGGATGAGCGCCAGGGCCCTGCAGGACGTCATGCGCAGCTTGTACCTGAGCGGGGACGTGATGAGCAGGTAGCGGTCCAGGCTGATGACACACAGGTTGAGGATGGAGGCGCTGCAGCACATGACGTCAAAGGAGGCCCAGAGGGAGCAGAAGTCCCCCCTGAGCACCCAGCGGCCGTAGAGCTGGTTGAGCATGGCCGGGGGCATCACCACCAGCCCCACCATCAGGTCCGACATGAAGAGGGACACCAGGAAATAGTTGGAGGTGTTGCGGAGGGAGCGCTGGGTGACGATGAGGAGGATGAGGAGGAAGTTGCCCGCCGTGGTCAGCAGGATGATGAAGCAGAGGAAAGCGGCCACCCAGCTGCTGCCCACGAGCAGGGAGTGCTCCCCCAGCACGCTGGCATTGGGGGCCCCCAGGTCCCCCTCCATGAGGAGCCGGGGGCAGGGCTGGCTCTGGGGCTGGGGACCTTCTCCGGCGTGGCCTGTGCTACGTGATCATCCCTGGGGATGAAGGAGGATCATCTCTCTCCTCTCTGGGTCCGTCCTCCCTCCTCCTCTCCTCCTCCTCTCCCTCTCTTCCCCCACTCTGTCTCTTCAGTGGCACTCGGGGCAGAGTGACATTCCCAGGAGCCGATCAGCAGGACCGAGCTCCCCTCCCCTTTACTCACAGCAGTTCCTCGTGCCTGTAAATCCCCCTGCTCTGGGATGTCCCTGGATGCTGCTTCTGGAGCCTGGGGACGAGCTGGATGGCAGCATTCTCAAGATGCCAGGATGCTCTGGATGCTCTGGAGCAGGGAATAACACAACACCGAGATGCTCTGGATGCTCTGCACTCAGGATACTTCAGCTGCTGGGGGTGCTCTGCATCCCAGCATATTCCAGATGCCAGGATCCCCTGGACTCCGGGATGCTCTGGACTCCGGGATGCTCTGGATTCCAGGATGCTCCGGACTCCGGGATGCTCCGGCCCCCCGAGGCTCAGCTGTCACCCCCGAGCTGAGCCGGGTTCCCTGCAGAGCTCTGTCCCGGGCTGCCAGAGCCGCTCCGTGCAGGAGCGGCGGAGCAGCCTCAGGCGAGGAGCGGGATGCTCCCAGGCGAGCCCGGCCGGGAGGAGGAAGATCCGGAGTGTGGAAGGGATGTCTCCAGCGGCAGAGGAGCGTCCAGCCCGCAGGGAGGTGTGAGAGTGGGTGTGTGCAGGTGCCAGCCCGACTTTCACCTGCTGCTGGGGATGCACACAAAGGATGCAGAAATGCCGATCCAGGAGGTGGGGCTGGGGGGGGAGAGGAGGAGATGAAATGAAGCGCTAATGAAAACAGGGATCGGGGCTAAACTCCACAAAGTGGCAGCCAGAGAGTTCCCGTTTCTGCCTTAAAGAGACAGCCCCGTGCTCTGCCATCCTTCCCATCCCTGACATCCCTTCCGTCCCTTCCATCCCTGCCTGGAGGCACCTGGCACCTGGTCCAGCAGGTCAGGGGCCAAACCCGGCCGGCAGCTCCGAGTTCCAGGCTCCATCTTCCACGTTGGGCTATAAAAAGCAAAATTTTCCAAAGTCAAACAAACAAAAAAACAACCAACAGCTGCACACAACAGCCCTCGGGAAGCAGGCAGAGGACTCGCTGGAAGATATTCCAGCAGCGATTCCTGCAGCCAGGGATGGAGGAGCAGAGACGAGGGAGAGCCTGGCCTCTCTGCTCCAGGGTTATTTGGAGTGGCCTCGGGGCAGCCCAGCTCCCTCCCTCCCTGCAATCCTGGATGGAGCCACAGCAACCTGCCCTGGCAGGCAACAAGTGAGAGGAGCCAGCTCAGCAAACCCTGCTGAGTGTCTGTGTGCTGCTGGGAATTCCACACCTCCACACTCGGGGCAAACACCTCAGGCTGCTGGGCAGGGACTGCTTGGGGTTTTTTAATGACCCAGCTGCCCAAAAGTGAGATTTTCCCCAACAAATGGCCGTGATTTCTGTTGGGGGAGACCAGGGCTGAGGGCAGTGGCTCCAGCAGAGACCTGAGAGCCGAGGGTGTGCCCCTGGCACCCACCCTGTGCCCCCAGGGCCAGGCACAGGCAGCTGCTGCCCGTTCCTCCCTAAAGCTTTCCTTGACCCTTCCCTGGGAAGCTGTGCTGCAGATGTGTGGGTGAGAGCCAGATGTGCACCCACCCCGGAGCAGAAATCAGCCTCTTCACCGAGTCCTGCTTTTCCAATCACCTTTCCAACAAATTTGTTGTGTTTTTTTTTCCAGCTCCTGAATGGGCATTCCAGGCCTGGAAATAATTTCTGAGTAAGGGATGGGGAGGTGGGAGGCAGGGACCCAAACACGTGGGGTTATCCCGCTGGGATCTCCGTGTCAGGCTGCCACTGGGAAACAGCCACTGCCACTTGTGCCAGGACAGGCTCTGCCCTCCCTCTGCTTCCCCAGGATCCTCTCCTTGGATGCTCCCAGCCAAACCTCCCTGGCCACCCCGCTGTCACAGGGCTGCACGTGCCAGGCTCTGATTGCAGCAGGAGGTTTCCTTAGAAAAGCTTTTCCCCCCCAGGAAAACCTCACTTCCCCAGCCCCTCTGTGCTGGGAGCAGAGGGAAACCCCACCCCGAGCCCACCCTGAGCAGCCTCCCCAGGCAGGAAAAGTGAACAGAGCAGCACAGATTTATCCCAGCTGGATCCACAGTGAGGAAGTGATGGCACAGTGCAAAGCCAGCCTTCCTTCTCATCCCAGCATTAGGAACATCCCAGTTTGTCTCCAGAGCTTTTGCTTCTGGGAAGGAGATTGGATCAGAGTCACGGAGTCGTGGAATGGTTTGGGTGTGAAGGGACCTTAAAGCTCATCCCATTCCCAGTTCCTGCCATGGACCTTCCTTTACCCCAGGTTGTTCCAACCTGGCCTTGGGCACTTCCAGGGATTCCAGCTTCTCTGGGCAGCCTCTTCCCAACATCCACAGCTCATCCTCCACGCATGGGAGGTTTTGGTTTGGATGTGTTTGCTGGGGAAGGGAATCTGAACTGATTGAAGCAAAATGGGTTTTTAAAAAACCTGCCTTGAAATGAAGACCAAATCCTACCATTGTCCCTGCAAAAGCTTCTCCGTGCCAGCAGCTGTCCTGGCTGTCTCCCTGTGCTGCGTTTCTGGACACATCTGCAGGGATCATGGACTCCACCAGCTCTGCTCTCCAGCACCACTAGCAGGGAAAGCAAAACCAGGTTGTCAACAGCCACCCAAGCATCAACATGGCAAAACAAAAAAAATGGTGAGGCAGAGAAAGTCAAACTGGGAGCTGAGAGATTTCGGTGAGGACATCCAGGCAGCCCAGGGTGTAACACAGCGATGTCCAACAGTGCAAGGCACTCTCGGGATGTCCTTCCTTGGGATGGCTCCTTGGGTGTGAATTTGGGCAGAGCCTGGCTAACTACATCGAGTTCTGGTTTCATCTGCACACCAGCCCTCCACTGCCTGCCCCTGCTGGAGCTCAGCTTGTGTGGAACGGAGGTGGAGACTCCAAACACCTTGAAGTGCAGCTCCTGGGGTTTACAGGAACAGCCCCCTGCTAAATCCAGCCTGTTTCCTCTGTAAAAGGGCCCCATGATGGTGCTCGGTGACCACCAGGGGTTTCTCCACCTTTTCCTGGCTCTCAGGTAAAGCTCCTTTCCTTGGGAAGACACTTCACAGCCCAAAATCATCACAGTGACCCACAGAGCACCTCCAGCCTTGCCAGGCCCTCCCTGCTCAGCCCATCCCCTTTGCTGTGGCAATTCCTGCCTCCATGCAGACCCTGTCCCACCTCCCGAGGCACAGAGCTGCTCTCCAACCTGTGCAGAGACCCCAGAGCCTCACGGAGAGGGCACTGAGGGCTGACCCAGCACAGCCTCTGACCCCTCCTGGAGCTGCTGGACCCTCCCCAGGGTCAGAGCCAGCCCAAGGAGCGTCACTGATGGCTCCTGAGGGCACATCCACGCTGCCCTGGCATCAGTGGGAACAGAGGTTTGCAAGGGCACCTCCAATGCCTGATCCAAACATTCTTGGGAAGAGCCCGCTGGTCCCAGCCCCTCCTTCCCCCGAAGGGATGTTCCCCCTGTCCGAGTTCACATTCCAGAGCATTCCCGGGGGCCGTGAGCGTGTGGATACCAAGGAACACGCCGGACCAAGACTGTCACCTAGTGGCAACAGCGCCGGAGAAGGTGGCGTGATGGGAGAGCTCCCACAGATCCCACAGATCCCAGAGATCCCACAGATCCCAGAGATCCCAGAGATCCCACAGCTCCCACAGATCCCACAGATCCCACAGATCCCACAGATCCCACAGATCCCACAGATCCCAGAGATCCCACAGCTCCCGCAGATCCCACAGATCCCACAAATCCCACAGATCCCACAGATCCCCACAGCTCCCACAGCTCCCACAGATCCCACAGATCCCAGAGCACCCGCAGCTCCCACAAATCCCACAGACCCCACAGCAGTGGGATCCCCCATGCCCAGCCACAGCTGCCGTGCAGGCTCCCCGGGCCACCTGCAGCCCCCAGGTTCAGTATTTGGGTTTGGTTTTCCTTCCAGCAGCTCTCTCTCCTCCTTTTCCCAGCTGGAATGCAGCGGGGAGCTGCTGGAGCCACGGCTCTGCCCTGCCCTGGGCCCTGTCCTGGTGTCAGCACTGCCAAAAACCAGACAGGCATCAGAGCACTGAGCAGTGGAAGTCACAACTAATTTATTTAAGGAATAAAAAAAAACCCAAAAAAAACCAAACCCAAAACTTGTCAAAAGGAGGGAGAGGCATGGATAACAAGCTCTGGAAGCTCTTGTCAGGACAATGCAACGGAGAGAGAGGGGCAGCAGAGGCCGTGCCCACCCCGACCCCCAGGGACGTTCCAGCCCTCAGCCCCCTTCTCCCTGCACAACCATGGAAGTGCAGCAGGGAGAGGGGGGACAGGGGTGGAACCTCCCCCAGATCATCCCCCAGCTCTTGGCCTTCCCCTGCAGCCCCAAAACGTGAAGCCCCAGCGCTCATGGTCCCAGTCCCTTGTCCCCGTGGTGGCCCTGGGGACAGCGAGGGTTGTCACCATCACAGCTCCACACTTACAGCCCCAGGGGCACATCCTGGGGAAAAACCCTCCCCAGGCACCACCTGGTACAAAGAATTGGGGTTGGACTAAGATCCCACCACCCCAGGAGAGATGTGGATCCCTGGTGGGGCTCTGGAGAGTCTTCTTCCCTTCTTCCTCCACCCTGGGCACGAGGAAAAGCCAGCAGAGCTCCACGGAGAGCCCGGCCCAGCCCCTGGTGCCGCTCCTCTCAATATATTATAATTATTATGTGCAATTAGTTTTGCATCAGGAGAGGCCCCGCGCTGTCGGGGGGCGACGCGAGGGCAGCGATTCGACAGGAAAGACTCCAGCACCCCCTTCCCTCCCCAAAACCCGGCCCTCGCCCAGCCCTGCCGGGACAGT